TGCTGCGGTGGTGAGTGTTGCGGTGGTTGGTGTTCGTGCTGGTGGCGGTGGTCGTGCTGGTGGTGGTGGTTCGTTGGTGGTGGTGGTCTGTGCTGGCGGTGGTCTGTGCTGGCGGTGGCTGCTGGTGGCGGTTCGTGCTGGTGGCGGTAGTTCGTGCTGGTGGTGTGGCTCGTGCTGGTGGTGGTTCGTGCTGGTGGTGGTTCGTGCTGGTGGTGGTGGCTCGTGCTGGTGGTGGTGGCTCGTGCTGGTGGTGGTGGTTCGTGCTGGTGGTGGCGGTTCGTGCTGCGGTGGTTTGCTGGTGGTGGTGGTTCGTGGTGCTGGTGGTGGTGGTTCGCGGGTGGTGGTTCGTGCTGGTGGTGGTGGTGCAGTGGTGGTGGCTGTGCTGGTGGTGGTGGTTCGGTGGTGGTTCGTGCTGGTGGTGGCTCGTGCAGGCTGTGGTTCGTGCTGGTGGTGGTGGTTCGTGCTGGTGGTGGTGGTTGCGGTGGTGGTTAGTGCTGGTGGTGGTGGCTCGTGCTGGTGGTGGCTCGTGTTGGTGGTGGTTCGTGCTGGTGGTGGTCTGTGCTGGTGGCGGTCTGTGTGGTGGTGGTCTGTGCTGGCTGTGCTGTGTTGGCTGGTGGTGGTTCGTGCTGGTGGTGGTGGTTCGTGCTGGTGGTGGTTCGTGCTGGTGGTGGTGGCTCGTGCTGGGTGGGTGGTGGCTCGCTGGTGGTGGTTCGTGTTGGTGGTGGTGGTTCGTGCTGGTGGTGGTGGTCGCGTGGTGGTGGTCGCTGGTGGTGGTTCGTGCTGGTGGTGGTTCGTGCTGGTGGTGGCTGTGCTGGTGGTGGTCAGGTTGGGGGTAGTGGTGGTGTTGGGTGGCGGTGAGTGCTGGTGGCGGTGGAGTGCTGGGGTAGTGTGGAGTGCTGGGGTAGTGGTGAGTGTTGGTGTGGTGTGAGTGTTGTGGTGGTGAGGTTGGCGGGTGAGTGCTGGTGGCGGTGAGGTTGGTGGTGGTTATGTTGGGGTAGTGAGTGTTGGGGGTAGTGGTGAGTGTTGGGGCGGTGAGTGTTGGTGGAGGTTCGTGTTGGTGGCGGTGAGTGTTGGTGGTGGTTCGTGCTGGTGGTGGTCTCTGTCTGGTGGTGGTCAGTGCTGGTGGTGGTTCGTGCTGGTGGTGGTCGTGCTGGTGGTGGTTCGTGCTGGTGGTGGTGGTTCGTGCTGGTGGTGGAGGTCTGTGCTGGTGGTGGTGGGAGTGCTGGTGGCGGTGAGTGCTGGTGGCGGGTGAGTGTTGGTGGCGGTGAGTGCTGGTGGCGGTGAGTGCTGGTGGCGGTGGAGTGCTGTTGGCAGAGTGTTGGTGGTGGTGAGTGCTGGTGGTGAGTCTGGGGGGCAGTGGTGAGTGTTGGTGGTGGTTCGTGCTGTGGTGGAGTGTTGGGGTAGTGGTGGTGCTGCAGTGGTGGTGAAACATTCTGTATTACCTAAACACCACCCACGCAAGCCCACTAACACCACCCACACACACCTCCACGAACCACACACACCCAACACCACCCACACACACCCTCCAACACAAACCACACACACACACCCTTCAACACCACAAACACACACCCTTCAACACCACAAACACACACTCCAACACCACCCACACCCAAACACCACCCACACACACACACACACACCTCCAACACCACAAACACACACCCCAACACCACCCACACACACACCCTCCAACACCACCCACACCCCCAAACACCACCCACACACACCCTCCAACACCACACACACACACACCCTCCAACACCACAAACACACACCCAACACCACCTACACACACCCTCCAACACCACCCACACACCCTACCACCCACACACACCCTCCACCACAAACACACACCCAACACCACCCACACCCCAACACCACCCACACACACCCTCCAACACCACCCACACACGCCCAAGACCACGACACACACCCTCCAACACTAACCCACACACACCCCAACACCACAAACACACACCCAACACCACAAACACACACCCAACACCACCCACACCCCCAAACACCACCCACACACACCCTCCAACACCACACACACCTCCAACACGACCCACACACACCCTTCAACACCACCCACACACCCTCCAACATCATCCACACACCCTCCAACACCAACCCACACACCCTCCAACACTAACCCACACACCTCCAACTCCACCCACAAACATCCTCCAACACCACAAACACACTCTCTAACACCACCGACACACCCTCCAACAATACCCACACATCCTCCAACACCACCCACACCCTTCAAAATCACCCACACACACCCTCCAACACCACCCACACACCCTCCAACAATACCAACACATCCTCCAACACCACCCTCACACCCTCCAACACCACCCACACACACCCCTTCAATACCACCCACACACACCCACCAACCAAACACCTCAAACATCACCCACACACCTTCCAACATACTCACACCTCCAACACCACCCACACACACCCTTCCAACACCACCCACACACACCCCACCACCCACACACACCTCTCCAACACCACCCACACACCCTCCAACACCACCCACACACCCTCCAACACCACCACACACACCTCCAACACCACCCACACACCCTCCAACAATACCAGCACCACCACACCCAACACCACCCACACACACCTCCAACACCACCCACACACACACCCTTCAACAACACAGCACCACCCCACACCTCCAACACCACCCACACACCCTCCAACAATACCAGCACCACCCTCACACCCTCCAACACCACCCACACACACCCTCCAACACCACCCACACACCCTCCAACACCACCCACACACACCCACACACGCACACACACCTCCACACCCACACACACACCTCCAACACCAAACACCACACACACCCTCCAACACCACCCACACACACCCTCCAACACCACTCACACACCAACACCACCCACACACACCCTCCAACACCACCCACACACACACACACCCTCCATCATCACCGACATACACCCTCCAACACCAAACACCACAAACACCCTCCAACACCACATACACATACATCCCCTCCAACACCACCCACACATACACCCTCCAACACCACCCACACACACCCTCCAACACCAAACACCACACATACCTTTCAACAACACACACACACACACACTACTACTTTGCTGTCACTCCAAATCGAGTATGACGATCATCCATCTTTGATACAATGATACGAGTTATTAAGGACGTCGCCTCCATTGGTAAGTTCTGAGGTGACTAAAGAGGCCGATACCAGAGGGGCAGCAGCAGTGTTTTTCTGGCATTGGCACGTGTCTGCCTTGTTATGCAGTCGGGCTAACTCAAAAGTATTGACACCTTCTTGTGTGGTGATCCTACAAGCATTATGGTGTGGAGTAATTGTCTCCCAGGTGAGGGGGTCGATTTGACACTTTTTCAGGTTTGTCTTAAGACTATCTTTATACCTTTTCAGTTGCCCGCCAGTGTTACGTTTCGCATTCATTAGGTGTCTGTAAAGTAGCTCCTTTGGTAGTCTACTGTCGTCCATGCGGGTAACATGGCCAGTCCAGCATAGTTGATCATGGATAATGGTAGCCTCGATGCTTCTACAGTTGGTGTCAGCAAGAATACTGGCATTTGTTCTCATCTTCCCAGTGGACTAGGAGGATGGAATGTAGACTACGTAGGTGAAAGTTTTCAAGTGCCTTTTTCTCATTAGTTATTAATATAAACGTACGATCGATCACCCCATAGTATACCGGTCATTGCCTGTACAGTATACGGTATACAGTATCTCATAGATAAAAAATAACATCATCAGGAATGCATCTCCATATAGGAAATGGTACCAAATTCATTTTCTCTAACACAATTAGAGATGTTGTGAATAAAAGTTTATACACTTTTTTTTGCTAGCCATAAATATATTCCTGCTTTGCTTTTGTTTTTATTCAAGACATCTTCAGGCCATGAGACCCACTAATCCTCCACCTGACATTGAGTAGATCAGGTCAGTAATATGAGAAGCACTAATCCCTTACCACACCTCCATTGCAACATTTCTTACATTTTTTCTTAGAAGAATTGAGTCTCCATCATTATTATCATGTTTTTGTGAATGTGAAGTGAGCAGTGTATTTTTGAAAATGACTGGCAAGTGTTTTGCTCACCATCTTTAAGGCTAGGACGAAGGCTATACCTCCAGTCCCCACTCTTCAGACTTCTCAAAGTATGTGTGGGACTCAGGTTGATGTCTCTACTCCACCTTAAGAGTCCCCTTAGCCTCAAAGGGGAGATGTGATGATGGCTAGACATGTTCTAGTAGTATTGTAGGAATTTTTTTATTCGGTGAAACAGGTGGGTGTCCGACTAGCTAGAAATCTATCCCACTGAAGCCCATGTTATAATAACCGTGATTTGTGATATTTCAAACTGCGACGGGGTTTTCAGGAACCTAACCCCATTGTAAATAGAAATTTACCTGTATGTATAGAACTGTAGGTTCTATTTTTATTTGCCGAGTTGTATATTTTATGTGATATTCAGACTACAGTACAGTACAGTACAGTACAGAGTGTACTCATATTTTACCAAATTAACCTAACAGCCACCCCAACTTGAGATGACTGTAACAAGGGGGGAAGGAGGCTAATGAACAGTGTAGGATCACTATTTGATTATTACAGGGTTACGAATGGGTTCCGTTCCTGAGGACATTCTTAAGCCGGATTTGTATGTAGTAGGAACACATGCTATATGCATACTGTATTTACAAAACAATGTTTAAAATCCCACTATATCATAGCCTAAGTCTTTATATACATCTAAAATAACTTAATTTAAGACAAAATAAGAAATGGAATGATAAAATACAGGAAATGAAAGTAAAAAATAAGTCTTCAGGTAAATAAAATACTGTAAATTTTAAGTTTAACCCTATTTGTATCGGCGGGCATTCGTAAGTCGGAGAGCCCCTGTACAGTACTGAAAAAACTTACCGGTACATTTTTTTATGTTTGTGTTGCCAGGTATCTATTATCTTGAGGCTCAGGGAATTTGCAAGGTAGAGATGGAGATCGTAAAGTAACACTAGCGGAGTATCGTACTCCAGCAACGTCTACTTCGTAATCACCATCCATCACATAGTCAGGTGTGACGTATGCCATTTCACCATTTTCATCATACTTTCGCACAAAGCCCAGACAAATCTGTAATAATGGAGTGCCCCAATGATGATCTGTTAAAATATTAGTTTGAAACCAATGTTATTGCAAGACCAGACTCCAGTCTTGCTAATTTGACACATCATTTGAAAAGATGAACAATTACATGAGGTAAAGTAAAACATTTACCATCTTTTTTAAGCTGTGGTTTACAATACTGTACAGTACATTAACTACCAATATTATAGAACAGAAACTAAAACTGTTTATGATATACACTTAACTTTATTTCTCTATTCTCTTATCCTTAATATTTCTATTGTTTTATACAGACGTTTTACATTTGGCAATATTGTTGATAGCAAATTCTCTTTGAGATCTCTGAAAAAGACTGTTAACTAAAACTGGAATTCAGAAAAACAGAGACATGGTCAACATCTCGAAGCAACAAATGACTTTTTGAAGCTGTTTACAGTTATCGAACAATTGCATTCATGAAAGTAGAGGTAAATTTGTCATTAATTTTCAGTACTTACTGTGGTTCTCATCCGTCATTACTGTTACATTTATCACTAGATAGTAAGTTGCTCCACATCATCTACTTACCAAATTATTTAGTGTGTAGCCATACCCAGTTGTGGTCGTGATGCCAACAAAAACATCATTTCGATAAATAGGTTCACCACCCCAAGCCCATGGATCCACTTCTGGGTTATGATCTTGGAGTTGCAATTGTACATATAATCTTCGGACGCCTTCCTTCTTCTGCCTCTCTAAGGCCTCTCGGCCTATGAAGTCAATTTTTTTCTGTAAGAATATGAATAGAAAATTTTTAATATTTATACAGTGATCCCTCGGTTAACGAACGCCTCGGTTAACGAATTACCTTCCATAAGAATATTCAATTTGGTTAACGAAAAATATTTGGTTAACGAATTCCTTACGAATTCCTCTCAACATGTTTTCGCTTGCTCACCAGCTGGAATATTAGTTCGCAAAATACAGTAATCGGTTCTAGGGCTTAAATTCGTTCCCATTTGAGTAAATATCAAGAAGGTTATACCATTCAAAAAAATTTCAAGTTTTATATTAAAATTTTTAGTCATTTTAACAATTATTCAACATAATTGAAGAACAGGAAACTAGTTTTTAGTGCGCCAAACAGCCACTTGACTCACCCAGCATGGCGTCAGTTTGTGTCTGTTCAGTGGAGGTAACATCTTGCTTGAGACTCTCTTGAGCATAAACTATTTTTACGTTTTTACAGTACAATTATTGGTCATTCTGAAATTTATTTTACATATTGACAATATTTAGTGCAGTGCAGTGTTGATTTAAAGAAAATAATCTTGAATTACACCTAGTGAGCTTAAAATTTTATGGGTGAAATGATGGCATGAAGCATGGGGTGATTTTTCTTCCACCCCCACTTCCTTCTCTTCTCCCTTCTCCTCCACCCCCACTTCTAATTCCCATCATCATCATCATCAACCAGGAGCCTTCTACATACACACCTCAAAGAAAGTGTACTTTATGCATTTATTTTTACTTTGTTTGTAATTTTTGGTGAGCTGGAACCAATTACCCAAAATCCCATTGAAGCAATGGTTTCGGTTAACGAATGACTTTCTGGAACGAATTGTGTTTGTTAACCGAGGGATCAAAGGTAGATGTGAGGGCCTAACTCACCCACAGCAGCACTAAAATGTAAAGAAAGCAGGGGCAGATCCAGGATTTAATGAGGAGGGTTCGGATTTTGGTCGCACAGACAAAAATATACACTGTGCAAATAAATACAGTGGTGTTTCAATAATTCATGAAATACAAATTAGTGGGTACCTCTCTTACTACTTTTTTTTTTTAAATTTTGCTTCTCAAATATTCATAATTTGCAGCCGACCAACAGTGTTTGTTTACATAAGAAGCCATAAAAGTTGTGGAAATATTACTTCATTGCTCTAATTTGCCTTGGAAATACTAAAGAAAATATAATATAAAACTATAAAAATAAGAAAAATGAAAAATAGTAAGTGAATTATATGTAGAATACAGGGCAGTTGGGTGGTGGACTGAGGCAGGGTCAACGAGATGGTGGGGAAGGCAGGGCATTGTCCAAGGGCCCATACCTGATTGAGGAGACCATGCTTTTTTAGGGGCCAAGAGGTTGTACAAGTGATGAAGGCTGGTATGGCATGATGTAATAATTAAAGAGGATAACTCGATAAAATATAACTAATTTCAAGTTTCATGATCTAAACATGTTTAATTTGTAAAACCCCATTATGATTATTACGTTTGGCTGTGACCACGGGCAGCCCCGGTGGGTTTAACCTTCAAATTTACTGGTCTGGGGCAGAAAATTTGCAGTCTTGGGGTTGGTTCTTAGGGGTTACAGGCGGGAGCACGCTTCTAGAGCTGTGGTTGGCTGTTGATCACATTATAGCTCATTTAAGTCTGGAGCTTTTCACCCACAAGAGTTGTGTTTGCTGATTGCTCTCAGCTGACTTGATCCTGAATACTGCCATCAAGAAGATTATCCTTAATCCCCACCCTACCTCAACTCAGAAGACAGGTCATGTGACCTGATTCCTTTGTTCTGTCTTTCTCCCTTGTTTTATTCTGTTAGTTGGCTGAAAATTGATTGATTGATTATGGTAATTACATCCCTGGTGACAACAGCTTAGGTCATATGTTTCAGAATAATAAATAAATAAAAATAAAATAATAAATAAATAAATAAAAATAAATTAAAATAATAAAATCAAATAATGCAAGGTAAAAAACTTAAGTTATAAATAACATAAAACTTTGTAAATACCATTTAACCATTAAGGGATGCAAAATGGTCTGTTGACTAGCGATCAGCTGATGTGAAAGGGTAGTTGCACTGGTGCCACTCACCACTCGACTGACTCACCCAGCACTCACTTTCCTCTCAACTTATTTTTTAATTATTTTATGCCACCTAATATAGATTTTCACTCAACTTTAGTTAGGCAATTCATCATCTGAAGATGCAGAGCCCAACTCGACCAGCTCATCATCCACATCACTGTCTAGGGCTGTGGCTGTGGAAGCATCTGACATGCGGGAAACACCATTTCCATGCTGCAGTGTTTCCAGCACCTTGTTTTTTCTGCTCCAGTGTACCTGCTTGCCTTGATTTCTTTGTCTTTGGGGTAGCTAATGATGTAGAAGCTGGCCTCTTGGACAAGTGGCGATGGTTGGTGCACGTGGTAGAAGGAGATAGTGTCACACAATATGTCCGTTCACTAGAGTCAGTGAGAGAACTGAGGTTCTTGAGGGTGTGGGAGGGTGGCGGGCAGCTATGTAGCGTGCCCAGAGATGCGTCTGGTGGGAAACATTAGGCACCAAATTGACTCGCGCAAAATAGGAAAGATTCGCTTTAAATTAAAACATTGTCCTTAGTAATTGTAGTGAGAGGTGTAAGAATAGAATTTCTAGATACGGAAATTTTTGAAGAGCAATCATTCAGATAATAAGGGATACAAGGGTACCTGTACCATATTCCTGCAAACGTATTTTACTCAGAACTGAAAATTGACAAACACTAAGGGTATGATAAAAACAAAGTCATGCTATGGCTGTTAGAAACAGCCTAAGGCAGCAGTAAATGGCCTTCACTTCAGGAATTGCCAAGCAGCAGTTCTTTTAGTAATGGTAACCAAACAAAGGGTATTATTACAAACTGAATGTAGGGAAAACTAAATCAGCTTATCACAGGAATAGTTCAGTGTAATCTAACAAACTATAATCTTTATGAAAGAGACAAAGAGGTCAAGGAAAACTCATCTACACAGGAATCCACTTATAACACAAGAAGATTCTCATAATTGAAACAGAAAAGAAATAGAAAACATACTGTAATAAGAAAGGAACACAATTAATAAACATGATTTAAAGGAACTCACACTGAGTTTAACTCTGAAGCCTCGACCACATTCAAGAGGAGTTGTAGTGGAGTCCAGGTCTTGGCCCAAAAATGCGTAGAACTTCTCAATCCTCAAGGAGCGCATAGCATAGTAGCCAGCATGAAGCATGTCATATTTCTTCCCAACAGATACCAAATTGCTGTATACATGTAGAGCATACTGAAATATGTAAAAATATAGAATAAACGTTATGCTTACAAATATCCCAGTGCACTTGTCTTAGGGCAGATCCACTGGGAAGAGCAGGAACAGAGGTGGAAAGTGGGAGGAAAAAAGAAGAAGAAATGGAAGAAAGTGGATAGAAAGTGCAAAGCTCTTCCAGGGACAAGATATTTACGGGTAACAAAATGACTTTTTCAAACCCCCAAAATTTCCATATCCCCGGAATTTTCCGGGTACTGTAATGGGAAAAGTTTCCGAGTGTTTAAACTACGTACAGTGAACTCTCGAGACCTGTTCACTTGAGACCTTGTAAATCTGGAGTCCTGCTGCACGCAGTCATCTGAAATTGCTGCCGACAAGCCATCCCTTGGCCTCATTCCTTCTTCATACCCGTGAGTGAGCAGTTTATTCCCCCCTCTTAGAATGGACTTGCCTATAATGCTGCACTGTGATTGGTTAACTATAAGTTCAACACATATTCAGCCACAGAAAAATGGTAAGATTTTAGGTAAAATAATTCAAACAATGGTGATGCTAATCCTCCCGGGAAGAGCAGAAGACTAGCGAATATTATGTCATGCAGGCACGCATGCACATGCCCGCCCGGCCACACGCACACACACAGAGCTGGCCCAGTCCATCAGTCTTCATTATTTTAAAGTCAAATTACATATTATATGTTGTATTTTCCTATTATTTAATACTGTATCTATATATATTTTTATTTTATTTATTGGGCACCCCCCCCCCCACAATATTCATATTATTAATGACGAAACATACACCACAAGAGGCTGATCATACGAGAATATAATGAATAAAAAAGTGAACGCGGCAACAAATAGTCCTACCCCCACCGACATGATCGTCATTTTACTTGAACTCAAATTATACAGTAATATTTCCGTTAGCCAGAACCCCTCACACCCGGAACTCTCCAATAGTCGGAATTGAAATTTTCTCGGAAAATCTTTCCCAAAGCCGGAATATTCCGGGAAACTCCTGCTTTGGGAACGATTTCCTGAAGGGCACATTTTCTGCAAAATTCTGAGAAAAATTTCCCGATACCCCAAAAATTCCGGAGATGGGGGAGTTTTTTCCGGGTTTGAGAGATGATGTAATGGGCAATTTCTGGAACTTCCGAGAACATTTTTCAGTAATCCGGAAAATTCCGGGGATGAGGGATTTTTTCCGGCTAACAGAGATATCACTTTCTATTTTTTTCTATTACAGGTGCTCCTCTACTTACGAATGAGTTACGTTCCTGAGGCTTGTTTGTAAGTCCAATTGTTTGTAAGTCCAATTTTACTCTTGTAGATACCAAACATATTGTAAAAAAGTTAAAAGATTATGGAAATTTAGTACAGCTATACCCTTTAATACAGCCTTAAAACCTGACTCACTCTGTTCTGGCAGGTAACCCCCCCTCAGTGATGATATTTGTATCTCTGAAAGTTTATAAGTTGAACGTTCTTAAGTACAGTAAGCCCTCCTCCAATTTAGGGGTTAGGTTCCTCAAAAACAGCGTGTTAGGGGAATCTGCATTTGAGGAACTTAATATTTAATGAGATTAATAAGAATTGGGGAACGCTATAGCATAAATTCTCATCATCTGACTCACAGACATGCGGCTGCCACCGTGTCGCACCGGCTGTGTATGCTGTGACGTCACATCGAGAGGGGGAGCAGCCATTCAGTTAAACAGTAAGGTCTCCGTCAGCCAGAATCCCTCAAACCCACAACTCTCCGATAGCAGGAATTGAAATTTTCTCGGAAAATCATTGTCAAAGCTGGAATTTTGAGAAAATTTTCTTGATACCCAGAAAATTCCAGAGATTTTTTTTCGGGTTTGAGAGATGAAAATAAGGGGCATTTTCCAGAAATTTCAAGAAAAATTTTCCGGTAGCCTGATAATTCCGGGGATGGGGGATATTTTTCCGAGTTCAAGAGATGATGTAATGGGCAATTTTTGGAACTTCCGAGAAAATTTTTCCGTTACCCGAAAAATTCTGGGGATTAGGGATTTTTTCCCGCTTTGAGAGTCATTTCGTTACCCGGAAATCTCTCATTCCCAGAAGTGCTCTGCACCAATTGTTCCAATTGTTCATTTTTCTTATTTTATAGTTTTATATTATATTTTTTTATTTCATTAGTGTAATGTAGTGATTTTTCCAAGATTTTTATAGTTTCAATACAAGTAATAATAAACGAGGCTGGCGAATAGGACACACAGCTATTAGCTAAGGCTTTGGCTATAACCGCCTCCATACACGGTCACTTCTCACACATACAAACCCATGCTCTTCATTTTTCTTGTTATACATTATATTTCTTTATTTCTAAGCCACATTAGAGTATTGCAATGATTTTCCCACAACTTTTATAATTTCATAACAAGTTAACAACACACACTAGGCGGGTGGTGCTGCTGCACTAATGCCAATTTGTAACTTGTCAAAAATTTGAATTTTCTCTTCTAATGTCATCACTTACGGCTTTTCTTTACTACGCCATCACTTGGAGATAATGGACGTTTAGGAGCCATACTATTTAAGGCAGTGATTCCTAACCTGGAAGGTAGCACCCCCCAAGGGGCCTTTGCCACCACTGTTCCAAGAAAGGGGGGCATTTAAATGAGAAAGATTGGGAACCATTGATTTAAGGGTTTGTTCCCCCCCCCCAAAAAAACAGTAAAAATAGCTAAAAGTATATCAACATGGACAGCACAGCTCTTCCCCCAACTACAGCTTACACTAGACTGAGGCTACTCGCATTTATATTTGTTTGTATACAGTTGGTCCTCACATTAAGCGGTCCCGCAATCCGCGTTTCACCGTTACCGCGGTGCCTTGCCAGAACCTAACATTTTCGCTGATGGCGCCATTCGTGAGTGTGTCGGCATATTTTTGGCATACCGCCTGCGCCTGCCCGCCTCTCTCCTCCTCCTCCTCTCCTCCCTCCCTCCGCTTGGCAGCGGCGGTAGGTTAGTGTGTCTTTTCGCGTTATCACTGGCGTCAGGCGTATCAGACCTGTGATTGGCCGCCCTTGGCGTATAGAACTGTGATTTGGCCGCCATCCCTACCCTCCTCTGCTGCTAGCTGTAATTGGCTTAAAGTATTATGACGTGTCCACCCGGGGGAGGGAGGGAGGGAGGGAGGAAAGACGACGCTTGACCTAGCCGCGACAGTTTCATCCCTCAAGGCCACTCCGTGTTAACGCGCATCCATTGTTCCGTAAAATGGCTTCCGCCGGACCACCACCCCCAGAGAAAAACCTTTCCTTACCTGGACCCAGCGGCACTAAGCCAAAGAGGACACGACGCTCCTTAAGCTACGAGGTGAAGTACCAAATTATTCAAGATTTGGAGAAAGGAACACGGCAAGTTGATCTCGCGCGCCAGCATGGCGTCAACGAATCTACGATCCGGACTATAAAGAAGGATTCAGCCAAGATAAAGGAGCACATGAAGATCACAAAGTCTACAGGTGCTTCTATGATCAAGTATTTTCACAACCGGGTGCTTCTCAAGACAGAAAAATTACTTGTGAGGTACTTGGTGCGTCAGGCGCGACGCAACATGGCGGTCGACACGCGCTCTGTGAAGGACTACGCACGTGAACTGTACATGGCAGTGGCACGAAAGATGGGAACTTCAGAGCCCAAACCCTTTACTGCTTCCTCTGGGTAGTTACAGAGGTTTAAGATCCGGAACAAGATCACCAATATAAACATTGGTGGTGAAGAAGCGAGTGCTGATCGTGCTGCGGCTTCGGAATTTCCTCCGTTTTTACGTGAGATTATGGAGGAAGGACAGTACACCGACGACCAGGTGTTTAACATGGACGAATCTGGTCTTTTCTGGAGAAAACTACCTTCCAAGTCCTACATTGTGAAGAATGCCAGCAGGATTCGGGGCCGGAAAATGCAGAAGGAACGCATCACCGTCCTGTTTGCCACCAATGCCTCTGGTACCTGTAAGCTCAAGTTATCGGTGATTCACACAGCCCGCAAGCCGCACGCCTACAGAACCATGGACATGACCAAGCTAAATGTCCACTGGCTGACAGCACGTAAGGCATGGATGTTCTCTACACTGTCCCTCTCCTGGTTTGATGACTGTTTTGTTCCCGATGTAAAAAAATTCTGTGAGCAACAGAATGTCCCATTTAATATTTTGTTGCTGCTGGACAACGCACCAGGACATTCGCCCCTACTGTTAGATAGTCACCCCAACGTAAAAGTGGTCTTCCTTCCTCCCAACACTACGTCTATATTACAGCCCATGGACCAGGAGTTGATTTGCAATGTGAAAGCTGCATTCTGAACAAAAAAATTCCAGCTCCTGAACGACTACACCAACACCAGGGAAGAGTTGCGTGACCTGAGTGACACCACCACCGATAGCAAGAGCGACGAAGATGAGGAACAACGGTTAGAACAGCAAAAAATACTCTTCAAACAATTCTGGAGAATATTTAACATCAAGAAAGCTGTGGACATCTTGGTGGAGTCATGGGATCAGCTGTCTATTGCTACAATTCGTCACGCATGGAGACATGTGTTGCATGGAATACCAGGTGAGAGGAGGAGTCAATCTGTGACTGGTGAGGTTCAGAATGTTGCAGTAGCAGTGGACCTTGCCAGAGAAGCTGCGCAGACTGTTACAGTTCCAGGCTTCTCCGAGACCACCAACGACGACATCCTGGAGGTGATCAGAAATCCTGAAGTGACTGCCGACGAGATGTTGGAAGAAGAACACGTCAGTGAAGAGGAGGAAGAAGGTGCGTCAGTCTCCGAAGAACACAGTTTAAGTCATAGTGATATTAAGTGTGCCATGGAGTTTGCAGAGAAAATTAAGTCCGTCCTTTCCCGCGACAATGACGATGACCGCTATGAAGTCTTCCATAACCGGCTGGTGCAGGCTATGGAGCCGTACATCACGGTGTATCACGACAACATCAACGCCAGCCGTCAGCAAAGCATAACAGATTTCTTCA